TCCCTGGTAGACTTTGCTGTTTATGAATTTACCACATAAAGAAATCCCAGGGATTGCATAAACTAATCTCCAAGAATGGTGTAAGAACCCATAAACAAGAAACTAGACTGAAAACAAACATACATTTAAGAATTATAGGCATCTTAAGTATAAATAAAACCTATCTTCATTCAAAAGGCTTCTACTTGGATTACTGAATATAAATCAGGTATTCAAAAGATCCACTCTTATTAAGACCCTCTTAAAATGGAAGTTGATAGCTATGTGTTTTCTACAACTAACTTGGCTACAAATATCAGTTTGACTCTAAAAGAATTTTCCGAGATCATTTTACTTGGATAGGTAATTCAGAGCACTTCACAAATAATAGCATGATCCAACATTACCCCCAGACTGCTGGACTTCTCAAGCCAACTTAAAATAAGTGGAACCTGACAAGTTTGCTAAAATTTTGTCAAGTGAGGATATTAAAAAAATAAAACCAACCCACAAATTTATGAGCACAAACATTTCAGAAAAGAAACATACTCTCCAAAAAACAAATTCTTTACGTTGAATACATTTACCTTGTGACAAACTCACTACATTACACTATTTTTTTCCACCCCCTATTTTATTAAGGACCCATGAAAACTTCTCCATGGAGTATACTGGCAGTTGAGAGATCGCTGATCAATTCTGGCCAGCCCATATCGACCTTTCCAATATGTGTCCCCTTTATTATCCAGTATTCCCAACTTCACTTGGCTTTCTTCAAGCTGGAGGATAGGGGAAGGGGCTCTACCTAACACTGCATCAAAACAGTAATCACATGATCATGCATTTTGGAAAGCTATCTGAAGGAGGATTTGAGCCTATCCACCTACTAATAGGGTATAGAACCACATGATTTTCAGGTGGCAAAACATTTATACATTGTTAAATGTTTCTACTTTCATCTTTCTAATACATTTTGAATGGATTAATGCCACAGTCCAATCTAGCAAGAATAGATCTAATAAATTAACATATAAAATAGCCTAGGGCGCCTGGGTGGCTCAGATGGTTAAGCGTCTGCTTTCGGCTCAGGTCATGATCCCAGGGTCCTGGGATCGAGTCCCGCATC